TTATTTACATTTAACAAAAGTATTTAGGTACTATTTTGTTCGATAACTTTTTGCCATCTTGTAGGTAGGGACATGATCTTATTGCTATAGAGATTTTGGGGCTTCTAATATTGTTGTGAGATAACCCGCGCCGTTTACGTTGATTTTCTAACCGGTCAGTGGCGGTCATCTACTGCGGCGCACATGTCTATATCCAAAAAAGATTCCCTGTGAAGCCCTGGTATACCGATAGTCAGTGTGACTTCAGGAAATTCACAACAATAATTAACAGTCTTCGTTTTGGTCATTGTTTATTCCCAAGCACCTTCATAGACATAAAATACTTGAGACACTGCGGTAGATGTTCTGAGAATACACTGCGTAGCTTCCCGAACGCTGCCCAGCCGAGTTGGATCCGTCGATTTACCTCTCTGTGGAAGTTGCGTCATGTACTCGCCGTTTATATTGATGCCAAGTCCTCTCCAGTCTAAAAGCTTAAACACGTCCTCCAGTGCGGCAGTGAACAGTTTCGGCGATATAACGTCGCCCTGTCTCACTCCACGCTGAAGTCGTATTGCTTACGAGTTTTGGTCCTGGAGCCGAACTGTTATGGTGGCATTTTCATACAGTGACTGCAGCACTTGGATGTATCGATAGTCTATTTGGCACCTCTGGAGTGACCTAAGCATGGCCCGGTCTCGACGGAGTCGAAGGCTTTCTCATAGTCCACAAACGCCAAGCACAGTGGCAGATTATACTCCTCGGTCTTCTGTATAACCTGTCGCAGCGTATGAATGTGGTCTATGGTACTGTAACCTTTTCGGAAACCGGCTTGTTCAGGAGGCTGGAAGTCGTCAAATCTACGTGCGAGACGATTCGTGATGACTCTCGAAAACAGCTTGTACACATGACTCAGAAGCGTGATGGATCTTTAATTCTTCAATTGGGTCCTGTCGCCCTTTTTGAAGAAAAGCACCACCACACCCCTGTGCCATGCTTCCGGCGTCTTGCCCTCGAGTATGGCGGAATTAAATAGCTTCTGAAGCGCTTTCCGGACTGGTAGTCCACCCGCTTTCAGAAGTTCCGCTGTGATTCCATTATGCCCTGGCGCCTTGTTGTTCTTGAGCTGTTTGAGAGCCACACTAATCTCGTATAGACTGACGTCCGGGATGTCTTCGGTATAATGTCGGGTTAATTTGGCTCTAGGGTCTGTAGTCTCAATGACAGGTTTCTGTGATGTTATGTATAACTGTCCATAGAAGCGTTCGATCTTCGCCACAAGCTCAGGACGGGATGTAACGACTCTGCCGTCCTCTGTCTTTAGCTTCGTCAGCAAGCTTTGTCCGAGAGACAGGTCTCTAGCGAACACTGGAGCCTTTATTCCGCTCAATCGCCTCCTTAATACATTGAGTATTAAATTGGCGTATGTCGCGTGTGAGAGACTTCGAGATCTGTCTATTGAGTTGCCGACGAGCATCCTCAGAAGACTGCAGAACCATTTCACGCCTTTTTTCCATTAGTTTGCTTGTCTGCTCCGAGATCTTGCTTCTTTTTTTTTTTTTTTGAAATTTTGAACCCACCGTAAGGACAGCTTCTACGACCCTGTCATTGTATTCATCCACATCCGAGCAGCTCTCCAGGCAATCGAAGCGGTTTTGAAGTTCGAGCTGAAAGTGTTCGGGGTCCCGGATCTGGGTGGCTTCAGAACGGAGTGTAGACTTCACCAGTCGATACCGTTCAGCTTTTACATTCAGATTCAATGCGCCTCTTACCATACGGTGATCGCTTCCCGTATTAAACGAATTGATCACTGAGACGTCATTGAATATCCGAGTCTTAGTCGACATGATGAAGTCGATCTCACTTTTTTCACACCATCCGGACTCTTCCAGGTCCACTTTCGATGCAACCGTTTTTTGAAGAAGGAGTTCATCATATAGAGTCCTTCCCTCTCCATGTAGTCGGCTAGCATTTGACCACGGTGATTCCGGATCCCATATCCAAATTGCCCCACCTTCAACTCCTCATCGCCACGCTTGCCTAGCCTTGCGTTGAAGTCTCCCATGACAACAGTGTAGTGGGTCGTGGAACCATGTATTGCCCGGGAAATGTCCTCATACGTGACTTCCACTTCCTCGTCGGGGTGCGTCGAGGTCGGGGCGTAAACCTGTATGACCTTCAGCGAATACCGTTCGGTGATTCTGAGTATAAGGTACGCCACCCTATTCGATACACTTCCGATCTGTACAATATTGTTCACGAGAGACTTGTGTACGATAAACCCGACACCACCTTGGGACAGATCTTCGCCCTCCCGGAAATAGAGCAGGTTACCGGATTTAAGGATCATCGTGTCCTCGCCCTCTCTTCGGACTTCGGATAATCCTACAATACTCCAACGAATCCTGCCCAATTCCTTCTCTAGTTCCAGCAGCTTCTCCTCGGTCCGCAGTGTGCGTGCGTTGTAGGTTGCCAGGGCCAAGGTCGTTTGACGGGGGATCTTTGCTGCCCGGGGATTCTTCGCACCCCTGGTGCCTTCGCCGAGTAGGCGTCCGTCCGCGCCAGCACGGCTTACGGCACCGCCGGGCACTCGGGGCCTTTCGTTTGGGTCTATTTTCTAATCTTTGAAGGGTTTTGGGCCATCTCCCACCACGCTGGCCCAATGAGGGTTGGTGGGGAGCGCCAGAGCCTCGTTGGTTAGTCGGCAGGGTGTACCGCGTGCAGGTGAGGTTGGCTTGGGATCCGTTAGATGTTGTTCGGATCCCCTTACACCCCCAAGTTCATATGTCATACCATAGAATTATTGTAAATATTAGGTCCTTACATATGAAATTGGCGTTTTGTCGTACTGGCCACTTTCATTACAAATGTCTCCTCCTTGATTGGGAATTCCAAATTCAAATTTATAAATTGTACACATGTATTTGTTTTTCGTTAGGCGGCATTCATTAGTGTTTTTTTCTTCTGTTTGTCCTATTTACGTCATCCAGTATAAAAAATGGAAAACTTGAAATATCGTGTTATTTACGAGTACGAATTCCACCGTGGAACCAGCGCTGCGGAAACGGCTCGAATGGTTAATGATGTGTATGGCGGTTGTGTCGCAAAAGAAAACACTGCGTTTTTTGTTCGTTCTGTAAATTTCGACCTGCAAAACAAACCCCGTATACGGCCGGAGACCCAAGTTAATAATGAAGAATTGAAGGCTATAGTGGAAGCGGATCCATTGCAAACCACATCCGAGTTAGGCTGCTGATGCTGCAGACTGATGCGTTTCATTACTTAACCGTCACATTAATGAAGGCTTTTTGAATCAAATCATTACCTGTGATGAAAAGTGGATTCTCTACGATAATCGGAAGCGCTCATCGTAATGGTTGGACCCTGGCACGTCAATCCTTTTTTTTTCTTTTTTTTTGACACTGAGAAATGCGTTACGCATACCCGCTACACCCAGCGCGGACTTCACGGGATATGTGGGACAACATCAGCGGTCCTACCCCCGAAGGAGCTGGACAAGAAGCAGGAGTTCACCCACTAAAACTCAGCTATGTACCTCGTATGGAAGGCGAGACGCGGGATCTGCCCGAAGGCTACACACCGCGTGGTTCGCCCCCATTTTGGCCCGCCCTGAGAAGGGCAGGTCCCACTGCGGGTTGGGGGTACACCTCAGAGACATTTAAGATTTACTCCCCCGACGAGGCGGGAGCGTGTAATGCCCACCGGTGCACACACCAACCAGCTGCCCCCGACTAGAGACCGGAGATGCGTGACTGTGCTATCTACAATCCCTCTTACCCTTCGAATTGGGAGGATCCACACAGCAGCATAGCCCTTATCGTGGATCCTCCCCCCCCCCCCCCCGTAGGTCGATGCGCCACAGAAGACCGGCCTCATCACGCCCTGTATCAGCTCCGAGGAGCAGACAGGGCGAGTCCAGCCGTTACTTGTAAGCGTTTGGTGGACTAGTGCCGGTGTCGTTCATTTCAGTTTTCTCAAATTTGGCCAGACAATTACGGCAGACGTCTGATACTATGGAAAAACTAGCTGTTAAACAACCGAGGCTGGTCAATCGCTCTATAACACTCACTGCACTGCAGACGGCTACCAAATTAGAACGGCTTTAATTGGAATGTCTAAGACATCCTCAGTACTCCCTGGACGTTGCTCCAACAGATTATCATTTTTTTTTAATTTGGATAACTTCTTGCAAGGGAAAAAATTCAACTCCGCTGGGGCAGTGCAAATCGCCTTCAAACATTTTATTGATTCCCGTCCGAATGAATTTAATGAATTATATTAAAAAATATTCAACTTTTGTTCCTCCCATAACAAACACCAATTTCATATGTAAGGACCTAATATATTTTTATTTGAGATGCGTATTTCTAAGTTGTATTGTTGTTCAGTTTTTTAGGTTAAGTTTCTAAGATTACATTTAATTTGTTCAAATTTTTATCAACTAGTTAGTTCTTCGATACAATATTATATAAAGCAAATTTCTCTGTGTTTAATAGAAAGATTGTTTAAATAGTACGAGTATAAATGTTATAACTTAATTTTATCTGGTGTTAAACTTTTGTTGACTTGAATGTCTTCCAAGAAATATTTACTATATGTATAAAGGTTTTGTATGTTTACGTCTAAAGGATTGGGTCCCAAGCCAGATTAAATACAAAAATATCAATATTTTATTTGTGATTGTGATATCTGAATATTTTTATTTTCTGAAGCTTTCTTTAATGTTGCCTTAATTGATATCTAAGTTTCGAACTTTGCAAATTTCAATTTTTTTATTTGTTATTTAAAAGGAACAGAAATTACTATCTTTGGCCCATTCGTTTCCTGCAAAATCAACTTTTGCTAGAGTCGGCATCTAGTGCTTTTTAGTACTTTTTTAAATACTTCCTCATTACCGGGATGACTTGTCTATATTCGGTCGAGATGTTAGTTAGTTTTACTGCCTAATGTTATTTAGTAACGTTAAATAAAACAATTTTTGTATATATTTTTTTATTTTTACCGTTCTCGTATCTTGTCTCAGAGGGTTCACTAAGAAGTACTTAGATCTATATTCAAGTCCTATCTGGAGCATAATCATAATCTAGAGACTTAATACTACAATTTGTGAGTACTAGTGATTTAAAGGCATGCTTGAATAACTAAAATGAAAATACATAGAAAATGAAAATCTAGTAACTAAGCATATTATTATAATTCTAAGAATGGGGACTATAAAAACTTGCAATCGGTCATTAATTATAAAATATTTCATTAAGTATCTATAAAGGTAATTTAAAATGAAACATGATGGAGTACAACAAAATGTGATTAATAAAAAAATATATATGCAAAATTATATTTAAGGACACGGGGTCTATGGTATTTCAAATTATTGAAAACTACTGGTGTCTTTAGTTGCCAGCTGACAACTGGACGACTTTATCGTTGATTTCCAGGACTTCGGACACGTATTCTTGGTCAGCCATGATTGTGGCTAGTCTGTTCAAGATGGACAAAAGTTCGCCGTCTCTTAACCGCAGCTGGTCGTTGCACTGGTCCACATCTTCTACGACGTCATCAGGAATCTGTAGAATGCCAAATATTATAGCTTAAGTCAATACTACTAAATACTGTACGATTATCTTGTGTCCGCATCTACCGCCAAAGCCTGACTGAGACTGACGTCTGAAAGTTCATTCAGGGCTTTGGCGATTGATTGATTAATAATAAATTGACCGCCTAATTCTCTAGCCATGACTCTAACTATAGGATACGACGTGAATACGATATCTAAGTGATGTTATGGGAAATATCCCATAATATTCAAGTAGTAATATCAAGTGGAAAACCACTTGATATTACTACTTGAATAATAAAAAAATATGATTATGTATTTGACAGCAGTGTCATCAACTTAGTCGTTTATGGTGGATAAAAAAGATATATTAAACTATTAAATCAAACAAAATATCGCCATAACACCGCTAAGATGACGTGACCTATGGTTAGAGTAGTTAGGCGGTCACATTTTTTTCTATTCCGAGTCTGCACCCCTGATTGATTTGCCAGAGCGACATATAATTCTTGATATGCCAGAGTTGCAGATTATTCAGGACTTCATATTGACAGGACAATCAGGGCCACAGTTACGCGGAAGAATCCAAAGAGAATTTAGACACTACGTTTTAGTAAAACTTTTGGTGCTCTGTACAATGTACAATGTACAGTCGCCAACACTTTAAATTACCTAAAAAGATCGAATTTTTCTAATCGATTTTAAGCCTTAATCTGTTAATGAGTTAGGTCAATCGACCGAATCGAATTCGTAACGAGGACAAATAAGTACGATTATATATGTATATTCACGATTATATATACATTTTTTTTTGTTACAAGAACTTAATGGCGTATTGGTTAATACGTTTGTTCAACGATACGGAGTTTATAAATTTTCAAGTTATATAACTTTTATTTGATTTTAAATGAATGTCACATACCTTTTGCAGTTCCAAGAAAGTTTCAAACTTCAGTTTCTTCCGTTGTTTGCCGCTGTTGCTGTCGAAGAACATGGTGAACTGCTGGTCCTTCTTCTTCACGTGAAAGTATATACTAGCTGTGAGATGACCCTTAGGGTCCCTCGCCAGAAGACTCCTGGAAACATAATTTACAATGTAGTGGCAATGGCTTATCATTATCACTTTATGATATCACTGTTATTAATTAAGTATACCTACTTAAAATTTCATTTTTATAGATTTTAAGATATAAGGATAAGTAACCAACTACATTTATAAAGGACGGATCTATAGCTTTATCTATGGAGATCATTATCCGATAAAAAAAATGTTTTAAGAATAATGTCTACCTACTGAATGTTATAGTCAAGCATTAGCCAAATATTATGTTGCTTGCAATAAAAGGGTGACAAGTGTAACAAACGTATGTACGTACCTTAAGTCCCATATCAGATTCCTCTTCTCTGTGACGCTTATAGCTGTCATATAGCTCTTGGCCACATAGACTAAAGATAAGCGCTCTTTGGTGACTCCGGCTCTGGTCTCACGCTCGTGCCATTCCACATAACCGTTATTATGGGCATTAAATTGATAGTTATAATCTTTGCGGCAGTGCGGCTCGTCAGACTGTGTGAACCAACCTGGAAAAACAGTTTACATTTGAATATATTTCAAATTGACAAGGAACTGTAAACCGGCGTTGAACTTATTGTAAAAACATTTGCCTCGACGCATATAACTGCTAATTAGTTAGAGTTGCTCATCAAAAAATTGACAATGCGTCTAATAATATTTGAGTTTGATATTTACCAGTGTGTGGATAGCAACGATCAGCCATCACTGTCACGACTCGGGATATGTGGTAACCCAAGTCCGAAAGGAACACACCAGCTCTTCCTCCAACCTTCACATGTATCGCCACCATCACGTGGTCTTTCTCGGTTTCGATCAGGAATCCTTGAGGTCCCGGAAACGACGTGGTGTAATCTAACAGATCTTGAATGTTCTCATCGCAAGACACGAGCATCATCGATTTAGTGATACCCGGGTAGTCTTTCTCCAAAACTCGAAGACGCTTCATAACTTCCATGGCGAGACCGACGCAAGTGTGTTTGTGTGCGCGGATCGGTGGGTTGTACTTTGGGAAGAAAGTCTCGAGGTCCTCATCCGGAGACGCCATGTAGGTGTCATATAGGCTGAGGAAGTTGTTGACGGAATCATAATTCTCTGAGACGACGAGACGGCTTAACAACGCCTCGGCTTTCGCGACCATCTCCTCATACTGTTGAAGGGATAGGTGCAAAGCCGGGCGCGGCGCTCCCCACCGCGGGGGCGGTAGGGGGTGGTCTGCGGGCCAGACCGCAGGCGTGCTGGTGCCGGAGCCGAGTCAGCTCAACCACTCGGCGCCCCAGCGACCCGTGATGCGGTGCAGGGCCCTCTCCTCGCTCGAGGTAGATGCTATCGCTGTGGGGTCGGCGAGGTTCCCTCCCTCGACCCCTGTGGCCTCCACGCCGAACAGCGTATCCGGAGACCACTCATCCTTACTTAACGGTTTTATATTAAACATATCTGAAAAAATTAAAGAAAACTTAGGATAGTTTTATGAGAATCAGATGTGGATGGAATAGTTGCTAAAATGCATGGAGTAGTTAAAATGAGACCGATGGGGTATAATTAAGCGCACATCATTAAATGAATTAATGGCAAGTTACATTTAGTGTCTGATAACCTACTCGTACAAAACTGGAACATATGCTGCTAATGAAGATTACTAAGAGGAGCACTTTCGCATCATTTCGACACGTTTCGATCAGAATTAATATATTTTAATACTAAAACAGAAACAATGGTTTCTTGAAGAATTTACAGTTCCAGTCATTAGCTTTATAATTTTAAGCGTTTAAAGAAAAGAATACTTGTTTTGATTCATAAAAACAAAGCTAACAATGATCTTTAATACTGTCATCATTAGTAAAATCCCAAAAAGACAAATTATGTACACAACTAAGATAAAACTGGCTAATTATTTAACATAATAACTGTCCTTAAGTGTACTTAAATTGTATTTCTTTTAATGGCATGGAAATAATACTGCGCAAAACAAAAAATTATCGTACTTTACCTAATGAAATTAGGTCACGCGAAAGCTAACGAATGGGTAACGCAAATGACGTACTTGACTATGAATAACGTGCCATTTCAATTTACTAATAAATTAGCAGACATTATCTAAGTACAACTTCGTGGTATTTTGCATAGCTAGATTCGTTGAGTTGCTATTCGTTCTTAACCGTCATTAAAATAAAAACGAAATTTTGCAATTCAATGCATATTGCATTTTGTGTTACTCCAGACAATGAATTTGATGATTTTTTTTTGTCTGAAAGGGTTTATTGCAGACCAAAACTGCTCAAAACAAAACAGCCTCTATTGAATATAATCCTATAAAAAGAGTATTGCAACAATTTTGATATTAAAAGTCAATTTATGATAATAACGCATTCTTTGATCGTATAATATATCACAATTATAGCTGTTTAACACAGCTATTTAATTGGAAGGTGATTTTATATTATAGATAAATTATGTAAAGGTGATAATAACAGGATAATGTATACCGTTGTAGAGAAAACAAATGAAATTTAATTAAAGTTATAACACCAGCATATAAGTTGATAAGGTTACTAAATATTTTTAAACAAAATAAAAATTTGTAGCATAGTTTGTATTTAGGCATGGAAATCGTTAATTGATCCTGTCAACAGAAACCAATGCTCAACATTCAGTTGAGTTATATAATGCAATTACTGCGTCATTGGGGTCCCCTCTATTGTAAAATAGTTCTACATAATAATGTTACCGTTCGGAAAGTAACTCCACATCACAAGGTCACGTGGACATCGCGATGACTCATGGTTTCAGAATAAAAATCGATAACTATTGCATAACTTTGCAACTGCTACGTTATATGGATCGATAAGTGGGGTTTTATAAAGTTATAGATGGACAAAAATCATGATAACTGTTCAGTTATAATTGTTTTATTTCCATAAATACACCACCGACGACCTGAACACATGGAAGGGAATATCCCGTAGGCCCACACAGTTTTATTAACAAAATGAAAGATATAAAAAGATTCATGCTTTGATAATGTATGTATAGTATTTAGGTATGGTACGATCACTTTCTTCAATGAATATGGATCAAATTTAAAATATTTTAAAGTATAAGTGCGACTAATAGAGTACTAATTTAGCCCAAAGTAATGTGGCGTAGTAATGTGGCGTAAAATTTTGGATCCCATGATGAACGTCACATCTTTAAGAATGAAATAACTAATTTGCGAAAAAATAGTTCATAACGCATTGTGGTCACAGTAAAATGTTCACATAACGAAATTCATGTGGATATTTTACTGTAACTACAACGCGTTGTGAACTTTTCGCTCAATGAGCGACTTCGATCTTTGAGCGTAACATAGACACAATGTCGAGCAATACTGATTTAGTATTTATGACAAGAACATATCAATAAAAATTTCGATGATACAGGTTACACGATACTGGGTTCTGGTAATGATAATAGATAATGACTTGGTAGGAGATATTTTAATAAATAACAGTTCTGAATCAAAAACCTTAATATAATTAAGTAAAAAATAAACTGTCCTAATTATAGATTTATTGACCTTGAAAGCTATCGTTTTGATAACGATAGCTTTCAACTTTAATATTATGATACAATTTCATTCATTAACGAATGTATGTATCTACGAATAACTCTATTCATTCATAGGTGATCGTAAACATGATAGTGATTTACTTTAAATATATTACGGGAAATTAGTAACTTAAGAAATGACGAGATGAACAATGATCTAGTTTAGTTTGAAATGCTTTCATTATGATCGTGATTGATGAAAACTGACTAATTATCAAAGGTGATGAACGTACCCATTGCGAAAGCCTAAGTCGGCGGTATCTAGAGTCCCTTAGATCTGTATTTACGTAAGTCTGAATGTAAACTGATTTCTGATGCGTCAGTGCCGCTTAATATATCGTTTATTCTGTACTTTCCCCTGCCCGCGCCCCCCTGTCATACGTCATTGAGCAGTTTGTTTTCCATGTGTGCGTGTAACTGTTATTTCGTCTACATGTATATATCAGTGTGTGTGTGTTTAAATATAGAATTTCCGCTGCATGTGTGGAGTTGTTGACATGTGGATTTTTGCATTAGTGTTGATGATGCGTCAAAACATTTTATGCGTGTGTGCGTTCACGTTTCCATATTGCACGCTGGAAATAATATCTGATATGTTGGCCATGTGCTGTATGTGAGGCACGTGAGATTCACACTTAATTATTAACTGAAAAAGATCTCTATAATTGGCTGAAAGCGGCAGTAATTAAGATTATCTTTCTTCTTGATAGTTGCTTCTACTTTAATACTGTGATTTTGTTTGTATTTATAAAAAAGACAATACAAATCATTTCATGATAGTAGAATATTGCATCAGAATTTATAAAGTTCACAGAGGTCCTTTACCTATTGAAGATTAAAGAAATTAGAACATCATTTTACGGACGTCGCCTTTCTGCTAGATTTGTGTATCATGGAAAATATACTCTATAAGCACATAAACTCTAGTTACTTACTTACGTTTTGATCCAATTTATAACAATCCTTACCTAAGCAATATAGATAATTGCGATAAGTATCGTTCGTTTGACATAGCGTTACCCATTTTGATTTTAGTAGCTAGATACTACATCATTGAAGACGTTGTAGCCACTTGGAGGTATTGTTTTTATTCGAATATTTATAATGCTATGAAAGGAATTTGATCAATTCTATCCCCAAGGGGATAAAATAGAGGATGAAAGTTTGTATGAAACTGTCAATTTTAAACCGATCGGGCTGAGACTGTATGCATGAAGCTACTTTGACTTAGGCATCCCTTAGAAAGTATTTTGATAAAATCCACCTCTAAGGGGATAAATTAGGGGATGAAACTTTATTTCAGGTATTTGACATGATATAATGAATAAAAATTCGTTAGAAACGTTTTTTTAAATACATCCTCATTCGCACACTTTCCACAATCCAGCGAATGAACAAAATATACTGTTCAAATATAGCAATGGATCAATAGAAACTTCAGAATGGTGTGGCATGACCTTGAAATGGGTGACTTGGAAGTGAACTGAGCGATCTACGGATATCCGAGAAGCAAATGACTCATAGGAATCAATTAACATAAGTAAACACGGTTGCACGTCAGGTGAACACGATATATGTCTAATTATTCCAGTTGATTTTAAACTCTACTCACAAATCAGAAAGGCTTAAAATCAACTGTAAAATTTCAACAGATTTGTCTAACTTGGCGTGCTGTTGACTGTATTAAAACTTGTTCTATTAACATCAATATAAGTAGGTTTACTCATCTTTGGAAGGTGAATGTCCCAGGGCAAGTCGGTCACGCACGCATAAGCGTAGGATTTGCTTTATAACAAAAGAAAATCAAAAGCATGATTTTCCCATCGTTGGACAATTGCTCGAAACCGAAATACAGGGCATTTTAGAACGTAAGGACGAAATGAAGAACAACACAGAAAGACGCTGAGTTTAGTCATCAGTCTTTTAACGACAAAACTGCAGGAGTCCGGTCTTCCTTATGGATGGTTAAGGAAAATGGGCCATGACTTCCACGCTGGCCCAATGCAGATTGGAGGCTATTAACGACTGCAAATACATACGGGGCCAACGGCTTAACGTGCCTTCCGAAACACAAAATAGCTCGAGATAATGATTTTTTGGTCACCTATCCCGTGACCGACCCTTGTGATAGTTGCTTAACAAGCGGCGCTTATCTACTACGCCACCGAGCTACTAAAACTCAATGACGAGATGAAAAACAACACGGAAAGACGCTGGGTTATGTAAACAACTCTATTAGCAACTACTTGTAGGATTATATCTCCGTATAAAACAATAGTTGTAACACTGAAACCTCTACCGCCTAACTGATCTGAGATATCTGTGAAAATGAAGCCCTGAATGATGTGTCTAAATCCTTATCTCTATAATCAAAATGAAGCACTGAGAAATCTGTTAAAATTATACAAGCTCTCAGAAAGAAGCCCTGAATGATCTGTGAAAATAAGGCTTTAAACCAGCCTTTCCCAAAGTGGGCGATAATGCCCTCTTGTGCGAGCAAAAAAATGAAGACGTCGTGTAGAGGCTTAGGGGGGTGGGTGATTTGTAATTTCATTTAGCTAGGAGGCCTCTTAGACACCGACTACATGAACTCTCGACTCTTATCTACAACTTGTGAACAACAACTAATATTAGTTAAGAGATTTTTCAAACTCGGTTCGATAATTCCCTCCGCGTATATATCTATCCTGTTGTATTGAATATATAAAATATAAACTATCTCTATCGGTAGCACTTAAAAAAACAGATTCCATATGTCCTTGCTGTACATTGCGTTATTCATAGACAGCGTTTGGTCGCTAGAAACTTAAGTGAACGACTATTTCAATAACTGCAATATGTCATCAAAGCAGTCAATAAAATCCGCAACGGCTCTTTGAATGATACATTATTTCATCAGCTTTGAGTTACTAATGGCGAGAATTTTAACTGTTTGTTGTTTCATACTGAAGTTCGTTGACTATCAAAGGCAATTGTCCGACTCGATTTTACAACCTGATGTGTCAATATGTGCCTTGAATGATCTGTCAAAAATGGTTCTGAATGATATGTCAAAAAGGAGCCCAAACTAATCTGCAAAACTAGTCATGAATAATGAGTTAAGCCGTCAGCCTGATCAATCAAAACTTCAGTAACCCTATAAAGCCGCTGGTAACCACTAACTCAATTCCTAGGCCACGATAGGAGATTTCTTTCAAAAGATATTTGAAAATTATCTCTAAAGTCGAAAGGCGTTTAACTGATTATCATAAAAATCGAACGATCTGTCAATAATAGACAGCGACAATTTGTCACAATTATCTTACACTGTATCGGATGCTTTATCAGCACGTGCTATAATATCGAATAGTTGTCCACGATGTAAAATTCATTCTCCATTCACAGAAATAATGTTCACTTTAGCTTGTTTAACTTTGAAAATAAACATCATTTTATTTTTACGCAACACGCACACATGAGCGTGCGATTGCATTCCATTCCATTTCCTAAACAAATTTAATTTTTCATTGTGCTAATGCGAAAATGAACTCAATTCTAATTGAAAATAGTACGTAATGAGAGAAAATAATTCTCTGGGACATTGATAAGAGTTATTCCAGACTATTCGAGTAATTTTCCAAGCTGTGTTTATAAAACAAACTGCGTAGTTTGTTTTGTTGATAATTTTGAAGTTGATAAACAAAAACGTCCTTGTAAGTAGTGAGGGCTTTTGATTAGAAGTTGTCGCAATCGTTTTGTTTTTAATTTTTAATTGTTTTCTAGCATGGACGTATCTAAAGTCATTTTACAGAGGTTGTTCTATAGCTACTGTTGAAAATTACCGAATGTTTGGGGAACATTGGAAATTTTTTTAGGAAAGATTCTGGAAGTTTACCTGAAAACTTCCGAAATATGGAAGTTTTGGAAGTTGAAGCGATTTTAATGTTGATTTGACTTTTTTATTGAGAAATAAATACTTTTTAATACGGATTTAGTGATTTAGAAAAATTAAATCATAAGTATTATGAGTTGTCCTTATGTAGATTAGAAATGCAATTTACAAACACAACTATCATCGAGTATTCCTTGATTAACGTTCTGAAGAAATAACATTATTTTTTGGGAAAAGAAGAATGATGACGACAAGTTTTTCTTAATAGAATTGGGCAATGGAATTAGCAGAACTTGAAACAATTCTCTTCTAAAATTTATTGTAATTTTGCCGTGCGCTGTCATCTTGAATATGAAAGTGCTGCTTGGAGGCCGATTATACCCTAATATTTTACACTTTACACTTCGTGTTTTTTAATTCTGTAAAAATGTCGTAATCACAGATGACGCTAGTCTAATCAAACTTTATATGTTTCTTGCTCTGAAAAACTGCGCTATTTAGTTGTAAAAAAGCATAATGACTTTATGTATGCACAATAAACAAATAACTGCAAAAGTACATATGGTGAGTCTTGAACCAGAATTTGACTATACTCTTAATCAGCCTTTCCCAAAGTGTGCGATAACGTCCCCTTGTGGGCGCTGCAGGCCTAAAGGGCAGCGGTAATAGACCGTGAAAAAAAAATGGGGGCGTTGTGTAGAGGCTTGGGGAGTGGGTGATTTGTAATTTAATTTAGCTAAGAGGCCTCTTAGACACCGACTACATGAGCTCTCGACTCTCAACTACAACTTGTGAACATCAACTAATATTAGTTAAGAGATTGCTGAAACTCGCTTTAATAATTCTCTCCATGTAGGTGATATATCCACTCTGTCATATTTAAATATATAAAATAAAAATCATGTCAATCGGTTGTTTCGTTCCGAAATGAAAGTAGACACAAACAAATAAATAAAAAGAAAACATACATACCTTCGCATTTGAATAGCTAATAGTACTCCTAGATAGGTAATTTTCGTAGATAGTAGACCGCGGGCAATCATATTTAACAAGTTTTTGTTAAATCACCCGAATTATGTATATCTGTATCAATCGACTGGTTTATATAATACTTGTTCTTACTTGTTGAGTACGATTAAGCGTCGAATGAGGTAAACAAACTTTATGCATGTTCATTTTATTCCTGTCTATGCGGGCTACTTATGCAATCCTATATAAACAGCGTAATAATTATATATTTTCATTTATTTTGCGCGTAATAGATAAGCAGTACCTACTTAAGTTCAACACTTACTAACGAATTTCACAAAACAAAAGAATTTCAGGAGAAAAAAGAAGAGGCAATATTGTGCGGAATATATTAAATTCCGATTCGGATTGAAAATCCTACAAAACCCTCGTGGCCTTTGTGCCTTCTATGTATAAAAAAAATCTA